GCATTTTATCGTATTTTTGTCGATTTACGAATTCGTACACGAATTCTTGGGGACCAAAATGATCATTTCACGAATTCGTCGATGGTCGACCAATTCGATTTACGAATTTGTAGGTACCGGAAATTTCTTTGTTACGAATTCGTCCTAATTTGCGAATTGGCAAAAGGAAGAAAAGACGCAATTTTTTGGTTCGTTTTTGATCATTTTTGTTAATTCGTATCACTTCGCATTGAATTACGAATTCGCAAAACACTGGTAAAATGCGAATTGTTGCATCAGTTTTACGCCCAAAAATTGCGGTTCGTCAATTCGTCTTTAGACACTTTGTCCACACTAATGTTTAAGGTGGGATATTCGTTCATGAGTGTGTTTTGTGTTCTAGTTGTGCATGTCTCATTTCAGATGGAAAAATCCAAAACAGACGGTATTTTCGGTCTGGATAACGATACCGGTGCACATCTACTGTATATTTCTCCGTTTTAAAATTCACTGAGGACACGGAGCGCTTTCACTGGTAATTTAGCAAATTTTTTATTCTATTAAGAAACTACTCTCTCCCAGTAGACACTCTCTGCATTGTTTTCATTTTTGTTGTTTTTCGTCTCTCACACGTTACATACTTCAGTTTATCAGCTGTTAGTTTGAATGTTACGAAATCTTCTCTTTTTTTTAATTTTCTCTAGTATAGCTCGTTCTGCTTATTATGCTGCTTTTTTGGTTTTTTTTCTGTTCTCGTCCTCCGTTCTAAAAAGCGTGTGTGTGCATGATACTTGTAATGAATCTTCATGATTCAATTAGTTGTTTGAATAAACGTGACTAAATTAAATGAAATTTTCTTCTTGATTGTCAATTCCTAGCCTCCACAAGAATCTCCATCACTTTAGGTCGAATTGATTTCCAGCTGACTCTAATAGAACTTAACTAGAGGTGAGAGGACAAATCGACCTCTCTCAGAACAGGTTCAAAAACTGTGACACTGGCACTTACCAGTTGAGTAACAGTTAGACTAATTAATATTTTCCTTGTTCGAGTTAATGCCGGACTTTGCTTTAGTGGTGCAGATGATTGTAACGGCTGCTCTTGGCTGGAAATAGCACACAGTCATTGAGGCTTTCTTTCTATTCTCCTTTTGGTGTTGCTTTTTTTGCGCAAAAACAAAATAAGCAGAACCACATACACAGGTAGCATAACGTAGCAATGATCGAATAGAGGAGAAAGGAAAAAAATGGTCTTTTGCTTCTACCACAGCGTTTTTCTTCCTTTTCCACTGTTACGAAAAAAGAAAAGAGACACTGCTCTTTCTGTTTCAGTGTGAATCCGTCAATAACAGATAGAAAAAGAGAAGAATGAGATGTTATTGTGAATAATGAAGTAAACCAGATACATCCGGCAATATAAAATAACAATTAATCACCGTCCGATTCTATACTAATTAATCATTACACTCGCATTATGAGGTGTGAAAGAGAAACCCAGTCAGGCACCTATAAGTTTTGAAAATTCGTTTTAACACCATTTAGCATTCATACAGCGCGAGAATATACAATTTCACTATGAAGTCGGCGAATTTTTTGTGCTTTAAATATACTCTTTAATCAAAAGCGCGTTTTTACCATCAATAATTCGCGAGAAACGCGTTTATGACAATCGTAACTTTTTAAAAACGGTTTTCAGTCACAATAGACTTTAAGACTCGCAGCACCGAATTTTTCGTGTTTAGGACTCAATTAAAACGAATTTAACGCCTTTTGGCTAGAAATAAAATTTGAAAACCGCGTTTCAGTTTCTCAAAATTTATAAGATAGTTTCTTTACGACATGAAAGTCGTTTCGTAGACTGAAGTCGCGAAATTAGGCCTTTCTATATCAAACAAGTGAGTGAAAAACGCGTTCACAATAGAAAGGTTTTACTATAAATCAATAAGTTTCAGAAGATGTTATTTGATTTTTCACCTGTCTGAAAGTCAAAAGATATATGACATAAATGCCGTTTCTTGAGTTCTCTAGAAATGGTTTGTTTGGGCACATCTTCACACTTTGTGCAAAGACCAGTTGGAAACTAAAGTGATCGGATTTATTTTTTCAAATATGATACTTGACAGAAAAACTATGAAAGTCTGCCATTTTGACTATTTTATCAAGATTTCACTACATATTATTCTCTGAAGAAGGTCTGACCTGACGAAAATTCTCCTGATTTCAGAAACTGATTGTGAAGATTTTCTCCTGATTTTCAATTGTTTTTCTGCTGCGATTTTCTTTTTTCCAAAACTGAGATGATCAGTTTCAGAAACAGAATTTCTAGATTAAGAGTCTAAATAATTAAACACTGTATACTTATCGAATGTTCATCACAAGACGATGAGATTAGTGAGCTTCTAAACCCATCGGATCAAACTCTTCTTTCTCAATCCATACTGCAGTCTCGAATAAATGATAATACTGTTTCATCAAAACATATTTCAAAAAAACTTATTTTTCTAAAACTATGTTGTTGAAAATGTTACTAGATTCTTTTGTTTTGCTTGTCCCTTGTCCAAGAAAAAACTGCCTGATACTCTCCTGTTTTTCTTCTCTCTCCAAAACAAAATCTCCTGATTTTCCTCCTGATCTTTTAGAAAAAATCTTCTGATCAACCCCTAATTTTCACGAAAACCTCCTGATTTCGAACAGCAGGATTTTGGCACGCCTGCCAGTACGTCTAGTTTGATCCCTAAACATATGAGGGATATCGAAACGCCTAGACATTGAAATCAACTTACAAATGTGGAGAAATTTATAAGTTTTCTACAAATCTTGTGAGGAACTCTAGACGCCGCCCAACCTCATATCCCGTTGTTTCACAAAAGACTAGCAAAAACTTTTAATATGAAATGTACGAATCTAGCATGTACTGACCCGCAGTGATAAATCGGCTTTATTCATAGAATACCTCTTAACATCTAAACGAAACACTTCTTCGCAAAAAAGTCTATGGATTTTTCGAGCATTTTCAATGAGTTCAGACATGATTCCCCAGCGCATCAAGTAAGTGCGTAACATGCAAAAATTTGACGTATGATTTTCAGATTCTGCAATCAAAACTGGGATGACGAAAAACATTGCTCACTTCCAGACGTTATTTTGACCGAGTTACAGAGTTTTCAAAATGAGGTGGATCGAAGAATGGCAAATATGAGCGAAAATGTCTCATATTTTCGATATGACTCTGTCATTTTTTATGCGTTCTGGTCGAGCAATGTCTCAGTCGAAAGACCATCAAAAACTAAACCAAATCAGGTGCCATCTCTTTTTCTAAACTCAATACTGATGTTGAAAGAATGATCATCATTAAGTGAAGGATTATGATTTTCACATACAAATGTTTTCTACCAAAACCCGCTTTTGGCATGCAAGCGGAATTTCCCTACAAATATGAAGGTGACATCAGACTGGAAATTCATTTTTCTACGAACTGAGGTAAAAAATCTTTGTTTGAAAACCCCGGGAACAGTTCGAAAGGCTGAAAACAGGATGTTGAACTTAGTTCCAGAAGTAGTTTTTCGAAAAGCTTTTGAGTAAAAATCGGGCGGAGTTGGAAAATGAAAATCGAAAAGCAGTACCGAAACCTTGTTCTCTGTAAATAATTTCATAGGCACATTCTCTGCTGAAGGTTTTGAGGCAGATTCCGAATCTTACCTTATTTTTGTTTTAGAATGAACTCTTTATGCGAAAAACCTCGGGTTTTGGTAGTAAACATTTGCATCTGAAAATCATAATCATAAGGCTCATTTTTGCGATTCTTCGATCCACCTCATTTTGAAAACTCTGTAACTCGGTCAAAATAAAGTCTGGAAGTGAAGAATTTTTTGCGTTGAATTTTATCTTATATTATCGTTGAATTATATCTTATCTTATATTTCAAATCTGGTGCAGCTCAAGATTCGATGAGCCACTTGAATCCGATAGGTTTCGTATGTTTCCATGTTTTCAGCGATTAAAGTGAGCAATGACCTGTTTCTGGAATACGTATTGAATATTGCTGGACTGATACTATGTCAGAATTATCGAGCGACTGTATTTTATCATGTACGTGAAAGAAACAAAACCTTTTACGTAACCTGCAGTAGATCATGGAGGGATAACGCCTGATTCAAATAAAGGTGTCAATGTGGAATTAAAACTAGAAAGATGAAGAAAAAGTAAATCGAGGAATTTGTACACGTATTCCTATTGAAATGACACAGCGATATTGCCGCGAACGAACATTACCGCCACAAGTGTAGTGGATAGATTGAAGAAAAGAAAACAGATGGATATCGGAGTTTTGATGTTGTAAGAATGATCATCATTAAGTGAAGGATTATGATTTTCACATACAAATGTTTTCTACCAAAACCCGCTTTTGGCATGCAAGCGGAATTTCCCTACAAATATGAAGGTGACATCAGATTGGAAATTCATTTTTCTACGAACTGAGGTAAAAAATCTTTGTTTGAAAACCCCGGGAACAGTTCGAAAGGCTGAAAACAGGATGTACGTCAAAATCCTGTACGGGGAGCCTGTACGTCAAAACCCGTGGTTTTGTAGGAAACACGAACAAGTCTAGATGCGCTTGCTGGAACATTAGGCAATGCTAGATCGAAATCGCATACAGTAACTTGGTTTTCGATGAAGAACCATTTCTCAAAGTTGAACCTACAGACAATATTATTTAAAATTAAAGTTCCAGTATTTTTTCATCTTGGACCAAGTTAGGAAAGCTTCCTTCAGGTTGAAAATGCAATATTTTCTATTATTTTTAAACTTTCAGTATGAAGAAAACATTTCCGAACATTGTACCAGGAAGAAAAAACGTTGAAAATTTAATTTCCCATACCAGGTCCATGCGGAGCTCTTGATATATACCCGCTATATATCAGATATATTACAGATCTCTTTTCTTTCGGTATGACCTAAGGAAGACAATCAAGAACGTTTGTTTCAAGTTTAGTATGTCACAATGGTTTTCATACAAGTCGGTCATGGTTTTATTGTTATATTTGCTATAGAATAACCGCCGTCTGTCCCTGTCACTTTGAGCCAATAGGACACATTGTACACTGCTCCTATTGTTACATTAAATGTTTGACTTATGAAATCGGCGGCATACGATTCTCCACCAGTATAAGAATACGCTCCAGTATAATAATCCGCAGACGTCGCCACACCATTATATGATGCTCCATCCGGGTCTGTGTAATCCCATCCTGTTATGTCACCTGTCTCAAACCCGCCGTTGACGATTAAATTTGTCGTGTTGCCGATCTTGTTAACACCAACATCGTCGAGGTACCAGTAATCTATATCATTACGAAATGATAACATTAACGTCACAGGTGTGTTAAAGGTCGAATACGAGTAAGAGAAGGAGGTCCATGGTGTTGGATCTTGATTTTCAACAAGGTACAATTGAGTAGTACAGACGAGATATGTGCATAGAGCACATAATGTACCGTTCCAATAGTAACGTGTCGAATTACAGACACAAGTGCTACTGTTAATCGAACAAATTAGCGTTAAATTGCCACGGCATTGAATATCGAGTTGACACAGTGTATTGCCATAAAACTGATTCACACAGATTGACCCGTTCCAAAACGTGTTTACGGGACAAACTAGTCTGGCTCCTACGCAGACCAAATAACGATTTATAGCTGTGGAACACGTCTGATTATAATTGAGAAACAGTGCTGATTCATAGACAAGCCCACCGACGATTGAGCTTTCTGATAAAGGCGAGGAAACGACCACTGAACCTGTCGTGATATAACCTTCGTATAAATTGCAGCTTAATGTCAGCAAATCAAAGCCAAATGTGCGACATTGTACATTTTTATTACAGTAAGCGGAACAGTGCAAAACTGATTTGATACCAGAAATCGAGCCCAGCTGTTCAATTGGATTGGATGGTTGAAATTTCAGCCCAGTTGCAGTCAATTTGATAGTCGCTCGATAATTCTGACATAGTATCAATCCAGCAATATTCAATATGATTAGAAAAAACATTTTTAGTTTCTCTGAACAAATCTATTTTGAAACTTAATAAATTTTCTTTTGATGCTTTTCTTATATGTTTAATATGTTTGAAAATGAAGTGGATGAGTGACACTGTATGAACAAGAGTTATTTACCTTTTTCTCTTACTCAAAAATAGGTTTTCTTAAAAGAAAAAGGAAATGTTTGAATATAGTTTCATCCTAGTACTGACAAATCAGATTAGCACTTTAAAAGTTGAAGAAAATTTACACAGTTTGCACAAGTGATAAAAGTATCTATTGTGTGAAACTACTTTACGTCACAAACTACTTTACGTCATAAACTACTTTACGTCACAAACTACTTTACGTCACAAACTACTTTACGTCACAAACTATTCGAGTTCATTCACAGACTGCCTTAATTCGCGTTCGAACGCATTCCTGGTAAAGATGAACGCTATCCTCCTCAACACAAACTAGTTGTCATTGAATGCGTTTCTAATCGATAAGAACCCATTCTTGGAGAATGCGTTCAATAGGGATCGCGTTCTTTTAAGAACGCGTTTGAACAGTTCAAAAGTCGTACAGAATACACGGTTATCTCTTATAAAAAGATACTAACTTTTGCAACCAGAATAAACCCGAGCAAAAACGACCCAATTTTTTGGGTTATTTATCTAGATTCATCTTCACGTGCATCTGGATAAATAACCCAAAAAATTGGGTCGTTTTTGCGTGGGAATAAAGGAAGGAAAGTATAGTGTAAGAGAAAAGTGTTTTTTGTGTTCTACTGACAAAATATAGGAAATATATCAAAAACAAGCAGTGGGTTTTCTTTGTGATGAGAATAAATAATTCTTCGATGGTATCTGACGGAAAAAAATAATTATGATTTGTTCTATTAATATCGTTGTTGGTACTCGGTAGTTAGAGAAAACGTTATTGCGAAGGAGCATTAATAAACACTGATAGTTCGTGAAACAAAACGTTTTCTCTCCACCAACAACATGAATAGATTGGATGTTTATATATTTCCCATATTTTATCTGTCAATAGAACATAAAAAACACTCGTCTCTTACACGATACTTTCCTTCCTTTACTTATTCTGGTTGGAAAAGTTAGTATGTTCTTATGAGAGAAAACCATGTATTCTATAAGCCTAGTAGCTTTCTTTGTCCTCCATATTTCCACAATCAACGGTGATAATAATCTATTCACCACTGCGTTTTGGGAAACAGATAGCTGCATGCACCCAATAACTACAGAAACAAGAACAAAAGGTCAGGGAATAACATTAGAGATTGTACAGGTACATCAGTCCGTGCCGTTTCACCTATTATTAACAAATAAAAGGAAGTTTGAGCATAAGAAAAATCAATATTGGCTTATGCTATCCATCGACGATGAAAAACTTACTCTCCAAAAGCTTGTTAACGGTCGTCAAACAGTATTAAAGAAAAGTACGGACCGTGACCGTATTTTACAACTAGTACAACCAAGTCGATACAAGTATTGGCTCAGCATAGATTTTAAGAATTTCTTGGTTAAATATGGTCAAGGTGAAATGAGAAATGAATGTACATTGTTTAGTGTTCATATGACGGATAATGATGACAAAAAATATTTAACGAAATTAAAATCTTCATATTCAAAGTTTCTATTTGATAAAGATGAAGATGAAAGTCGTGAAGAAGTTAATTTATGTTATCAAATATATGAACATCCCGTGGAAGGTAACCCACCGATATTTGTTTCCGAGGAAGTAATGATAGATGACCAACAAGCGACTGATTCTAATACAAGCATGATAGCAGTTGAAGATTTGGATAAACCAAACCAGCGGTTGTATAAAATTGTTATGAATTTTAAACTATCTAATCCAGAGCATCCAAATTTCACGATTGCTGCGATTGAAAGCAGTTGTCGTGAACCATCTG